CACAGCTCCAGCCATTCCCTGGGTGCTGTCCCTGGTCCCCCCAGAGCAGAGCTCAGTCCCTGCCCCTCCTCTGCCCTTCCCAAAGAAGTTGGAACTGCAGTGAGGTCTCCCCTCAGTCTCACAGGACACAAAAACCCCCACACGTTATTTTAAAGGACACAGAGGTTGTACCTGCAGTGCCACCAGTCTTTTGCTTTTTGCTACAAAGTCCCCCTTCTTCCAAAATGCTGAGGGTTGGTTTCCTTCTTTTGACACCTGAGAAGGAAGCAAGAGGTGAAGTCACTTGTGTCACATCTCCTGAGCTACAGGAGCAAGGGAAGGGCACAGAGAACAAGCCACCCCAACCCCAACATCCCAAACTGACTTACTGCCTGTGCTTCTCTTCTGCTCGTTTTTGTTCTGATCATAATGGATCCAGTCCCCTGGAAAGAGTTGGCAGAGGAAACAAAAGGTGAGGGATGAATTCCCAGTTTTTATGCCCAACTTTCAACGATTCTCAGGCACAAACCAAAGCTGTTGGGTGGATTCCAACCCCTGAGAGGAGGTTTTATATAATGAGATTTTTTTCCCCTTTTATTCAACGTGCTACAGCACGTCAAAATAGGCAATAGAACTGTATGTTACAGTGCAATAATTTGCAAAGTTATATTATATATAACGGAATAATTTATTATAACATGCAGTAATATGCAGGGGGGTTGGAAGTAAATGGTCTTTAAGGTCCCTTCCAAATCATTCCATGATTCCCTGAAGCCCAAAGACTCACGTTCTCGGAGTTTTGCTTTCCAGACAGTTGCATCAGAGTCCAGCTCAACCAGAGACAAGGTGAACTCATCAGGTTTCTCCACATACACTTCAATGTAACTCTTCAGTTTCAAGAGTGATCCATCAACAAATTCAATTTCCTGCACAACATAAATGTTTTAAAAATCAATATTTACCCAAAACATAAACTAAAGAGGAGGCAATTGGGACACAGCCCAACTCCAATCCTCTCGAAGTTCTGCTGTTGTAGCATCAGGATTTCATCCAAAATTTTAGGGCTCTAAGAGGCAAATAGAATGTGAAAAATGGCTTTAATTGCAGTGCAGAAATGGGCCATATTTCTATGAAGCTGCAATGCAGGAAGTGAGGGGCATTTAAGGGACTTACCTCAGGAGTTATTTCAGCTTCTGGCTCACAAACCAAT